AGATGAAAATAATAATAATTAGTAAATAAGTGAAATTTTAAAGGGATGAAGAAAAGATTTGAGTGCAATTGGGTGTTCCCTTAACAAGGAAGGACTAATGAACCACCAAATTGTTGTCTCTAGTGGCACATACTAACACTGTAACACATATGTATGTTTATGAGAAAAAAAAAATAAAAATAAAAATAAAATAACCAAGTAGAAATTTGAATAATTTTTCCCCATTCATAGTTGAAAACTCAGATTTTTCTTCAGATTTAACCTGACAGAGAACCATGTTCTGTCTCAAACACTTCTAAAAGCTTGCAACAATAGTTTCTAAACTCAGCAGACTTTCTTTTACAGTTTTACCCAGAAAATTCAAGCACTTACAAAAGCTTGCAACAATGGTTTCTAAACTCCACACACACTCTTTTGACCCAGAAAATTTCAAGCAGTATTTGGCTTCGGCTTAACACGGTTTGCTCTCGAGTACAAGAACACACCGGCAAGGGCTACTCCGGTACCTGCAAGATCAAACTTCCACAATCAACTGAGGATAAATTACCAAAAGAAAAGCTCTAAAATCCACCAAATTATAGTGAAATATATGTCATTATAGTTTGAGATTAAAAATAAACAAGGTGTTACATCTCACATCCACCATCTACAGGTTTGTATATGCTTAACAAGTAGTTAGTGTTAAACATTTTAAAGTTATTTTTTCTTTTGAGTTCTTTAGTTCCTTTTTTCACTAGAGGTTACCTAGACAGTTAATCATTGAAACTGGTGTCCTGAAGAAGAGAACAGCAGACACGATAATCACCACACGCTTCGCACAGTTGGCTACTGAATGAGTAACAGGAGACACACGTTGCAATAACATGTACGCGACCTGAGGAAAAAAAAAAATCTTTGTCAGCCTCATCTATTAGAAAGAAAGCACACGAGCATGAGCATAAATTTGATCGTGCAAATCAAGATGGTATAATTACAAGTGTCATTTGTTTTTAGTGCGTTTGGATATCTCCTATGTTAGAAAGTATCGACTTGCAACCAGAGGTTTTATTGCAAATCTTGAAATTTGAAATCCATCATTAATTTCTAGCTACATACACATATACATAAACAATGCAAGTCCTTTACGCGATAAAATACAGTTTTCGTGTAACCAATACTACCTGCTGGTATGCGTGGAAGCAGAGACCAGTCAAGAGTGACAGCATGTAAATCTGCTTTATATTCGCACCCTGGAAATTTCCAATAAATAGCAGACAAATTAAGAAAATAATCAGTCCCGGCAATCAAGAAGCAACACCAAAGCCGAAATGATTTTCGAGGAAAGACCTGTAATGAAATTTTAAAATCAAAACTCTCTTTAACAGTTTACTCACAGACGCTTGGAGATACGAAGGTGTGAATTTGACGCCTTCCACGATAAGGGTAGCGGGCAATATCACGACGAAGGACATTACAGTAATTGTGGAGAAGAGCGTAATGTTATCCAGACATTCCTGCATGATTACAACATAGTGGGAAAAAGATAACAATCCATTCACATTTCAAGAGTGTTTCCCAAAATGAAACAGATTGGAAAAATTTACTTCCATGAAAACATTGGAGATGAAGTATAGTTAAACAAAACATGAAAAACACTCACAGTTTCACAACCACAAGCGTTCCAACTAGAAAAACACATACAAACACACACACACACACACAGTCACACACACGTAAATGAGCAATATACCTCTTTCTTAACCAGTAACTTCTTGCTCAGGACATTGCGAGACTGATTTGCCAAATTTGAGGCCATTGCACTCCAAAAACCAGACCTTAGAAAAATTACACATCGTATAAATCCAGAGCAGAAATGTTGAAACGAACAAGCAAGTCATAGAACTTCGAGGAAAAGTGCAACTGCAACAATTAATTAGCAAAATCGTGCCTATCTTTTTCTTTTTTTTACCAATTAAATGAGACCTCGGTCATGGATGCCAAACCAACTCCACCAACGACAGGTAGAAGAGAGAGAACCGCCCATATTGTAGGAGTCTGTACCAGCGAATGTCATGTTGGCAACTCAGACAAACTATTTTCGCATGCAAAAATCTTAATGCGAGACGAACAAAATTAAATGACTCAAAGAACAAAATCGGTTTACCTCCCCTAGAAACACAGCAGAGAGGACAACAGAGAAGAAAGGCTCCATAGCTTTGATCGTGTGAGTGAATGATACGGCAACTTTTCCGAGGCTCATATTGGTAAAGAGGCTGCCTAAGGTATGCGCCACCGCCAGTGGGAGAATTGCAGCAAGCTGAGTATGTAAGGTGTAGCATTGTTTTTTAGGAGATCACAAATCGACTAGAAAAAAAAATAAAAAAATAACAATAATAATTAATGTGCACGCCACATGAAGTACCTGAGCACGACTGATTTTGGGCTTTTTGTGGAGATTCAACGTCCACATCAGAGTAACCAGTGCTGTCCCAGCAGCGAATTGACCAAGAGTGACAGTGAGAGGGTAATGAAAATCTTTGAGAACCTATAACCAAAACAAGAAGGAAACAAAACTCCATAAATTTCATAAAAAGATAAAAAATACAGTCGAAATCCTAGCTCAAATGCAAGTGCAGTAAGCCAGTAATTCTATCCACCAAGCACACTGACCAAGTAAATCAAGTGTCATAAACTGTATATTGCACTCAACATTGCAACTCAAAACATGAAATAATTTCTTGAAGACGCCTTGCAGAAAAATAGCTAAAACTACTCCACAGACTAAAAACTCCGCAACATACATCCATATATACAGATCTTTGCAGTCTATAAGTTCAAAATTCCTCAACGTACGTCCATACATCAAATTTTTGCAGTCTATAATTGAAAATTCAAGCATTAGCACATCCAAATTCCCAGTATCCCGCAGAAAACTCACAACAATTCATAACAAGACACAAAGAAACTTACAACGACAAACCAACCATCGTCTACGTTTCCAGCGGAGGTTTATTTAAAACTAGCGGAAAACAGAGTAGAAAATGAACGCAATATCAACCTGCTTGTTGTAGATACTGAAGCAAGCGTGAAACGCGAACCAGAGCACGAAGAGCGTTCCCAGCACCAAAGCATCCGCGAGGCCCGTCGATTTAGGGCTCTCCGGCGCACCAGCGTCCTCCTCCGCAGCTGCCCTGACCACGGCGCCGCCTGACCTGGGTCCGAAATCGCCAAATCCCGGGCCTGAAAACCACACATTCCGCTTCAACGAACACTCGATCGGACTCGGGCGCCAGCCCGAGGGAGAAGCCACCTTGAGTGACGGGAACGGAGCAGCTCTGAAACGCAGCTGTCCTGCCGGGCGGAGAGCAAGCGAGTTGAGCCCGGCGGCGGACCTCCGGCGGATGGAGGAGGGA